GTTAATTGTTAATTGCGTGCATTTTCTACACTTCAATAAAACTTCCACCAATGAACCACTTCTTTCAAACTAAGCAAATATATCGTATGTGCAATTTTTATTGATGAAAAATAATAAAAGTTCTCAGTAAAGAGTGCGCTATACATTCAAATTAAGTTTCACACGTTGAGACAATCATCGTTATTTGGATTAAAAATTTCAAATAAAGCCAACATATACTCATATATGATATAGCTACACACAATAGCCAATTACATTCGATCAATTCCACTCACAATTGATTTTTTTTCCGCGCTGCCAGAAAACTGACGCGGCAGTTCAAAAAATTATCCGTATTTGAATTTGTGTTCATTGTTTTTATAAAATAGGTAATAATAATAGCGGTTTCAGCGTTTAGTAGGCCGTAGGCCTGTCGCCGAATCTTAACATCGCAGAACATTCACAGCATTTTGAGTTCTCTAACTCGCAACTCACTGCTACAATTCTGCTGTGCTTAACCTCCCGGCCTCCTTGCCGATTCTGAGTTCTGACCAGAAACTGGCGCACAGAGCTGGGATCGAACCCGCGCCTCTCTAGTCAGCAGAGCTGGGCAACGCTACTTGGAAATGTAGCGGCGCTACCGCTACCGCTACATGCTCTAAATGTAGCGGGCACTACCGCTACCGCTACACCCACTAGATTGTAACGGGCGCTACCGCTACAGTAAAATGTAGCGCGCTACATTAGCCGCTACAATGGCCAAAATGATTAAAAATCTCTAAATATTTATTGTTCTGCTATTGGGATTTACTCATTAACATTTAATGATAATAAAACATTTTTGAAACATACCAATGCAACTTTATCGCAATCAACCTAACCCATAGTGGCAAACCAGAGCATTTTTAGAATCAGTTCATTTTTAATTTCCTCATTTACTCAAGATTTAAACCAATTTCTTAAGTATGATAATGCTGGTATCCAGGATACTTTACTGGTCTACATATAGGACTCAAAAATGAACTTGAGGGAGAGTCTAAAAAACTCTCTGCTTTGCCACTATGACCTAAGTACCTAACCGAACTTGTATGGGTTACCCCATGGGTTAGAATACCGTTAGATACAGTAAATGTAAATAAAAGTTACAATTATTTTTATGTTTTACCTTCCCTACATATGGATGTGAACTTTATTCTACCAATCTAAGAAATTATCCACATATACATACCTATAAAAATCAGTCTTTTTTGTATATATATGTGGATTATTTCTGAGATTGGTAGATTAAAGTAGACATCCATGTAGGGAAGATGAAACATAAAAATAAATGTGTAAAAATAACTGTAAGCAAACTGAAAGATGAAAAAAAACCTGTAAGTGGTAACTGGTAACAACTTAGCAAGTAACAACTAACATGTTGACACTAGTAACAGGCTGAGGTTGACAACATTACACCGAAATCTTTCGTACAGTTTTATTCTGTAATTTATATTATGTATGTATCATACTTTTTAATAAATATGGCAACATTTTGTGATGTTTCATCGTTGCTGACGCGTAGTGAAGTGTTTTGAGAGTCATGTGAAGGCAACAGAACTTACGTAACGCATACGGTTTTTTTTTATAGTTTTTCATTTCTCGATGCGTCCTTAAAGTGTCGGATTATACCGCGTTTACCCTATACCAAAAGGCAAAATATAAGAGAAGCTAGCAATAGCATTAGCCATAGTGACATTGTCAGACATAGTGGCAAAGCAGAGTCTGCAGAGAGTTTTTTAGACTCTTCTTGCTGCACTACACTCAGCCTCTCAGGAACAGGATGATGTATGTTTTTGGGGAATTTTCCTGCGCATATTGAGTTTTTGGAAGTCAAAGGTTTGCACAAAATCATCTAAATATTTTCTCTTTGCACAGGTGCTGCCGCACTGCTGCGCAACCCTGGCCATCAATTCTACACTGCACAAGACAAGACAAGAGCAGTTTGTTAAGGAACAGACAAAACACTCAGTACAGTATGCCTTTAATTATCCCTCAATAATATATAATTTTTCTTGATATGTAAATTTGGCAAATGAAAAATCTAGAACTTTATTTTAGAAGAAATTTTCTTCAAATTCATGTAGCAACATTCCATCTGTTTACATTCCGTATGTTTAATAGCCACAGTTTGCTTCAACTTTGCAATTAGGCTAAACAAACCATATTCCAACACTTTGAGGATGCAGCAAGAAATGAATGGCTATAAAAAGATCACATCATCACCCACACTCAGGATGATGTATGTTTTCGGTGAATTTTCCCGCACATTTTCACTTTTTTTGAGCTATTGCTGTGCACAGTTGGAGCAATGTAATGAAAATTGATTATCTTCGCGCACGTGTTCGCGCAATCCCGGCCATCAACTCTACGTCGCGCTGCCGCGCACGAGCAGTTTGTGGAGGAACAGACGTAATACCGTCAACCGAGGCAACTCGGGACTGGCAGGGCAACTTGGGACGCACCTCCGACACGGCGTAAAAGTGTTATAGTAGCGAAACTAATTGGAATATTGCAAAACTAAATATAGTGGCGTAAACGTCAACATTTTTCCTATCTATGTAGTATAAAGGCAGTCGAAAAATACGACATTTACTAGCTTTGAAAAATTCCTGAAAAAAATGGTGAAAAACGCTGTTTTGAAAAGTTACTTCTGCTAAGGTGTGCAGCAAAAAAAATATTCACCGTATTAAAAAATTTTACTTACATAAAAGTTGCACCCAGGTGTCGGCTTGAAAACGTAATTGGCAGATTTTGCCTATCTCATTCCAAAAAAAAACTGTTTACATTTCGTATGTATAACAGCCGCAGTTTACGATTACCGTACGTTCCGTATCCGACAAGGCGGACAAGCGGAAGAGTCAGAAGTAACCCGGACATGTCTTACATTTTATTATTGTCAGTTCGACTCGCGTAGTCAATATACTTGCGTATATTGTCGACTAAAATAGTAGAACTATTTTGACTAAAATAGTAGAACTATTTTAGCTTTCTAAAGTACGGTGCACGGCGCATTTTTTTACCAGCATAGTACGGCGCACTGCGCAGGTCGTTAAAATGACAAAATAAATTCCCACGCACCTGGCACATCTTCCTGACCATGGATCATCACCATATGCGCAACTCAAGTTCTGATTGAGTGATTACTTTACATCACTCTCAAAACACCACACTACGAACTATGTGCCACGGTGCCAGCAATGATGAAACATCACAAATTGTTGCCATATTTATTTGAAAGCCTTTAGAATTCAAATCTACAAAATCAGTGAATTCCGACGCTGTGTTTGACTAAATTTGGCATATTGTAAGACAATTCTGACAACGCTTCAAAACTGTAAGTTGTAATTCTGACGCCCTGTGTTGGAATTCCGACACCCTGTGTGAGCTGTATCGGAATATGACACAGCTTGGAACCAGCTGTGTGTGTCTAATTCTGAGCTGTATCGGAATTAGTTTTTATGTGTCTAAAACCATCTCTCAACTTAATCATCTATTAATTTATTTACCACTTAAAATCAGCAAATACAACTTATACAAGTATACATAAAGGATTCCTAATATATTCAAAGACTTATTTAAAAGTCTCAAACCATAATATTCTTTTTACACAAACAGTTTATCACTATTTGGTAGAGCAAGGTCAACTATCATCTTTGACACGTTTTTTGATGTTCTCACTGGGTGACGTGGACTTTTGCTCTGAGGATCTTAACATTTCTTGCCAGACCTAGTGTTTTGCAGAAATGGGACTCAAAATTGAACTTTGGGAAGATTTAAAAAAACTCTATGCTCTGCCACTATGCTTGCACTATTACACCCAGAATGGAATCCTAAAAATGATGGTTCACATATTATTTTCAATCCACCTCTTCCACTTTTTTGGTCCAAAAATCTTACTTAAGATAGGATAAAATAGGAGGGATTAAAGTTGGACTTTGAATAATCAAGAATGAAGGTTACAACACTTTAAGATTAAAGATTTCAATTTGACTAAATAATAGTTCATTTGTAATTTGTCTGTAAGTCAAACACCACAAAATAACATTCATGAATTGATAACAAATCACCCCACCAAGAAGAGTTTAACATGATGCACATGGTGTGCACACCACAAAAGTGACTTGAGGGAATAAACTCACATTGCTGCTTATGTAATGATAGCTCATGCACAATGGAGCTATATCCAAATTCCAGTTGCCAATGCAGAAGAGAATTCCAATACACACTTGCCAACTATCTCATATTAAAAAGATTATTGGTAAATTTAATCCTGAGTGTTGATTGTTTAATTATAAACTAAGTGAGCAGAGCCAATACGAGAAGCCTTGCTCTCATATGTCACTCATATTTAGGCATTACTGGCGATCTCATTGTTTGATGTAGTAATGAACTGGAATGTATGTTGCAGTGTTAGAGCCTTTAATATACTGCATATTCAGTTTAAGTTATTGTTATTTCACTTATTTGCATAATTTCTGATGAAAGTTTGAAATATATTTGGGCCTTTACACCAAGAAATGAATTTTTTCTTACCAGCTGTAGCTATGGAAATGTGTGCCAAAGATAAAGCCGTCAAACCGACCTGAGTGATGGGTAGCCCCAAAAGTGTTGCATTGTTCTGCCTCAGTACGGTACCACTGATTGGTCAATATAACCTTGGCAAACTTTGAACATTAACATTGCAAATACACTCATGAGACTATGGTAAATATTTCTCAAATTTACAATGCCATATATTTTCATCATTAGCTGTCATGCTTCAGCAAGAAATCCATTGAATTTATGTTGCTGTATGAAAATTTCAATAGTTTTCTTGACCTATTAAAAAGCAAATTTGATACCAAGATCTTCAAAGGCATTAAATTTCATTGTAATTTGTTGCCAAATTTATTTAGGAATTCTGACATTTTGTCTCCTGTACTTGAGAGACTTTGTGGTTACTGTTTGTAAGTTAATGCTTAATTTTTCTTACTCTGACAGTTTTTTTCATCATTATTGATTTCTGAGCCCTGCTTATAGGCTTATGCTCATTATATATATACACAAAATATGTTTGTACTTTAAGGGACTGGTTTGAGGTTACTGTTGGATGTAAATTAATTCAAAATTTGTTTTGGTTTCTTGATTCAACTTGCATAAAATGGATATCTCTTCAAGAAAACGTTTGATGCCAACTGAGAAGCAAGTGCAAGAAGCTTTAGCTGAAGAAATCAGAAAGCAGAGAGTCTCCCGAATCCAGCAGGTTGGTATGATGAAAAAGTTATTAGAGGACTTTTTCTGTGAACAAACTATTATTCATTGTGTAATTTTACTTTTAGAGTGTGATTAAGAGCCATACACAAAGGCAGACCTGTTTAATCCAGCAGGTTAACTGACACAAAGGCTGGCAATGGAATTAATGGCAATTAACATGCATCTAGCAGGGCTTCCAAATTGGGCCAAACAGAGAAGTGATGTGACCTGCATTACTTAGTCAGGGCTCCTAAACATGCCTGAATTTTGATCTGTTAGATCAGAGGAAATAAAATAAAAATTTATATTGTAAATTGTAATTAATTTGATTTTAACCCTATGAAGAATCTAATCTGCTTTTATGCTCTACCACTCTCCTAGAAAACATCTGCCTGCATTATATATATACCTATGTATAATCTACATAGTCTTTCCTACATTGATATTGAACAAATTTCTTACATATTGAACAGATTTCTTATACCTAGTCCAACCAATTCATGAAACCTATCTTTTTTGTTTATTCGCACTATCTAATGACTACTCATTCATGCAGTTAGTGTATTCATGGTCAATATATATATTTGCAATAAATATTTATGAGAAATTATAACGTTTATAATTCCATTTTAAAGTACATGATTTTCAAATTTGCCTAAGTCAATACACACCAGTAAATGATAAATTTTTGTCAGAGGAAATGTAAAGGAAACCTCTTTCAGGAGCTGACTTTATTCTTGGTGCTGTTAAATATGAAATAATGTTGTTGTTCCATGTGACAATTGCCACCTGTGAAGGTGTTTAAACATTTAATTTTTCCAGGTACGTCAGCAAGCCAATGAGTTGACAGCATCGCATCGTCAGGCTGTGGAGCAAGCAAGACAAGAAGAAATATCACGTCTGAGGCAAGATGTCATAAAGCAGTGGCAGCAACAACAAAACGAAAAGCTTTTGATACTGCAAAAAGAGCTCGATGAGGCCATTAACAGCATTGGAGAAGCACATCGAGCTGCACAGGAAAAGGCATGTTTAAATTTTTAAAATTAAGTCAGAAAAATGATTGTTTAATGCTCTCAAACTCGGAAAATTTCATGAGGCACTTAATTTTGCTGAGGACTTGAGATGAATGTTGCCTGTTAATTTTGCAGAAATATTTGAAAAAGCTCAAAATTTCAGCTTAAATGTTGTCCTTTTCAAAATGAATTTATTTGCTTTAGATGTGAAATTTAGTCAATTAAATGAAATTCAGAAGTTTAAATTTATAATGGATCTGAAATTAAATCCATTGAATAATTTTATGTAACACTTTAGCTACAGAGATATCAACTGTTTTCAATCCTATTTGTATCTTTAGCCATGGTAACTTGTGCTAATATTAGTAGATTTTAAGGAAAGTAATTGTCATTATTAATTGAATTTCTTACCAATATTTCATTTGAGTTTGATGTATGGCATGCATATCAATATTGATATACGGCATGCATGTCAACATTTTTAGAGAAATAGGGGAATATAGGTATATTCAAGTCTTGCAAATCATTAGATGATGATAACCGTACTTATTTGCCAACACACTCCACTTGAAAATATTTTAATGTGCCCAACCTTGTTCTCTTGCACACTGATTGTGATAAAAAAAACGATCAAACTCTCTGCATCATTCTACATTTATTTACCCTAGGTTTTAAACCTGCACAAAGTGGTTCAGTGTAAATTGTTCCAGGTTTAAGGTTTAACTAAATTCTTGTGGTTCAAGATTTTTTTGCTTATAAGGAAAGTCAGTTCTGGTCAAAAGGTGTCATGATGATAACAGAAATATAGATTTGGCTAAGAAATGAGCTTGGGTTATATTCGCCATGTACAGTAATTTACTAGTTCATCTGATTTTCGGTTGGGAAATGAACAAATGTAAAAATTAGGCTTATTCTACAGTTGGTACTCTAGAACCAATCATGCCTAATCTGGCGCGAATTTAATATGAGCACAAATACAAATTTACTTGCACTAGATGAGGTCAATAACAGAATGTGTATGTGGTGACCTTTGTGATATGTAGTGGTATATAACTGTTATGTGTAGCGAGCGCTTTAATGTACGGTATTCTGGCACAATTATTATCTCGCAGTGTTGCAGGTGGTAGCTGCTGAAGCAGAGGCTGCACACCGGCAGCTACTCCAGCAGCGCGCAGAGGCCCGTGGAGTGAAGGCCCTGCAGGCAGAGCGGTGTCGGCGACAGCAGCTACAGGATGAGCATCAGAAACAAGCCAGGCTCCGTACACAGGTGGACCACTCATCTTTTGTGGGATGTACTACCGCAATAATTCAGTGGGATATTAAAGTACAACAAATTTGTGGTATGTTACTTTATATTCTTCTGAGTTTGATGTCACAGAATTGATCAAGCTCTCAAACTCCAATTCGTTTGTTTCTCATACTTGGATTAGCGTGTTTCTCATACTTGCATTAGCGTGTTTCTCATACTTGGATTAGCGTGTTTTTCATACTTGCATTAGTGTGTTTCTCATACTTGCATTAGTGTGTTTCTCATACTTGCATTAGCGTGTTTCTCATACTTGGATTAGCGTGTTTCTCATACTTGCATTAGCGTGTTTCTCATACTTGCATTAGCGTGTTTTTCATACTTGCATTAGTGTGTTTCTCATACTTGCATTAGACACTGAATAACGCATGAATAAAATCATAGCACTGCATTATCAAGCACTGAATAACGCATGAATAAAATCATGGCACTGCATTATGAGACACTGAATAACGCATGAATAAAATCATGGCACTGCATTATGAGACACTGAATAACGCATGAATAAAATCATATCACTGCATTATCAGGCAGTGAATAACGCATGAATAATCATGGCACTGCATTATGAGACACTGAATAATTTGTTCGTGGGCAGGTGAAGGCGGCCGAACAGCAGCGAGCCCTGCGGGTGGCACGGCTGCCTCTCCCTCCATCTCTTCAGCCACCGCCACCAAGGTAACGAGTTGCTTCTTAGTTTTTTTATGTACATTTGGTTCTGGAGGAAACATTTCTTATTTCTGAAATATTCCAGAAACGCACGTTGTTCTCAATTGATTATCAACAACTTGTGGTTACCAGAAAAGACTTGGAGTTGTGTTCCCAGAAAAGCGCTTGAAGCATTTAAGGCAATCTGAACAATTTTGTATTAATTTTGTATTGTGTTCATGCATTGAACAAGAAGTACAAAATATCCAACTTATAAGAAATGTTTATGCAATTACTGTACGCACATCGAATTTGAAGTAAAAATACCATTAAATTTTCGAACTGATATTTGAGAAATAGATTTTCTCTCATTATTTCTTTTACCTTTTACTTCATTTGTTGTCTATTCTATTGTATAGATATTTTGATTGATTTTATTCTATTAAGTCAAAATTCCTGACACAAGATTCTGTCAAGTCGGTATTTCTACCGAAGTATTGAGGCACAATTCCTGACAAAAGATTCTTTCTTTCAAGTCGGTATTTGTACCGAGGTATTGCGGCACAATGTCTGATGTGTGTATTATGTACATTACTGACATGTGTATTATGTACAGAGTTGCAGCGCCAGAGCCCCCGCCAGTGCTGGTGCAGGAGGCAGGCACGCTCGTCATGTCGCACTACCGCCCCAAGCAGCCGCTCGTCTCACGCCATGCCTGCGTCAGTTGGTGACCGCGACCTGTAACGAACCACTGAATACTTAAAATTATTAACTTATAACAGTATAATTGAATACTAGACTTACAACAGTATTTCTGTTGAGCTTGACTCCTAACATGATATTTGTTCTATCTGACTTAAAATAGATTAGTTTGGTTAGTGATAGCATACATCGGGATACTTGCATACACTTGAATGTTTTAGCCTTTATGCAGTCTAAACTGGCGGTGTTGCTATTAGTTACTACGTATATCATGACGTACGTACTGTTGGCCCAACCTTTCATCACTTGTTGATAAATATGTAGTCACTTGCTCCATAGCCATTAGTACTCGTGAATTTTGTCTACATTTGTTTTGTCACTTTCCCTCGTAATCCCCCTGAAGATGGGAGTTTCATTTTTAATGTCTGAGGAGACTCGAATTATGTTTTGGTTGTCATGTTATGAGTACGGTAGTTGTGCAAACTTTTTTGAAGTCTTTTTCAGTTATTATTTTCCACTGAAATGTCCTGAATACAATGAATGTTAACAGGTTCCTACCGAAGAGGACAACGCGTGGGCGCGTGCTCAAGCTGAACGTGAGCGTGTGGAGCAACAGAGGGAAGAGAAGCAACGCGAAGAAGCAGAGAAAGAGAGAAGAGTTGCAGAGCGAGGGCGGCTTGCAGAGGAGAAGCAGAAGCTGATCGAGATGAGGGAGCGTCTCACCAGACTCATGAACCGTGATGATCTCCATGCTTTCTACAGGGGAGAAGATGTAAGCAACACAAGCTTTAGCGTTGCTAAAGCTTGTGCATGCAGTGCGCACTTGCCTTTCTGGAGCACTCGCTACCATAACAGAAATATTTTGATGTACATTGATTGAAAAGCGGTGTGTAGTGATGAACTCTTGAATAAGCATTGGAAAAATTTTGAAACGTAACATTATAGGAAAATTTGGGGATAATTTGAATTTACAGAAAAGTAAAAGTAATCAATAGTTTCTGGTAAACAAGATTTGTGTTTAAGCCGATGCCATTAACTTTAATTGTCTCATAGCCGTATCGTTTTTGAGATGCATTTAGCTTTGCCCACTATTAACTCTTGTTTTGATAGCAAAATCCAGGCGCGTTTTCAGATCCCACCCATGTTATCATGCGAATATTTGTATCATGTATGCACGAGCAATATAAGGATATTTTTCTCCATCAGGTTATTTGCATCTTGAGTGAAGAATTCCACACGAACAATCGACGCGAACATGAGTCAATTTCCCAGGACAGGCATCTAATATCGTCTGAGCAACAAGCGCCCAGTGCAGCCTCTTCTGGGCCCCAGATGTGCGATATCACTCATATGAACTCAAGGGGAGTTAGTGACGTGGAAAGTGCCACTGGCATCAGTGGCATGGAAAGCGCTAGTGGCATCAGTGGCATGGAAAGTGTCAGTGGTATCAGTGGTATGGAAAGTGCCAATGGAATCAGTGGCATGGAAAGCGCTGGTGGCATCAGTGGCATGGAAAGCGCTGGTGGCATCAATGGGATCATTGTCCCAGAAAACGCCGGCGTCATAAATGGCACAGAAAGCTCAGATTATTCTGGTGGGACCAGACACACGGGAGGCTCCAGTAGTGAAAATAATAACAACGTTGACAACGTCTGTGAGGGTGACAGAGATGGATCGAAGGCTGCAACAACTACAAGCGCCACTGCAGGGACTGAAGTGACATCGAATGCTGCAGTCGGCTCATACGAAGGTAAATTGGCTGAGCTATACCGATTTAACTGTTTTGCAAGCATTTAATTTTCCAAAATTATCAAGTTATTCTAAAATCGTAGTGATTGTTAAGGATTATGTGCTGTAAGTTCGGAAACAACAGAGAATTCAAAACTAAATATTTTATCAAGATATTTACTGTGAATTTTGTGAAATTAGTTGGGGCTGGGGCTCCTTAATTATGGTACGCGCACCGCTATTGGTCACAAGCCTACTTCCCAAAAAGGATACCTGTACGTTGCTAGTGAGCGCAAAATGACCTGCACTGATGGTTGCCGCCAGCTACAACAACTTTAAAATGTTCTCTGCTGCGTACAAACGTCCTCAGGTTGCTACACTCACTAGTTTACATATAATTTAAATTGGAAGTTACCTATCTTCCCGGAGAGTGACATACGACGGTAGGAGGTCAAGAGGTACCTATAAGAAAACTTTTGGGGTCATGAGCAAAATCAAGTTCGCTTTTTTTCACGAAAGTGTTCAGTAGTGAAAGAAAGATAAAATGCATGCGATTTGTAAGAGATTCCTGACGCCCTTACTTGATAACAGCGACCCGCCTTTGAATTCCGAGACTCAAATTAGCGCATTAAGGAAAGTTGAATGCTCACAATGCTGCTATTGTTGGCTAATATGTTGTATTATTAATAAGCGGCGCTACCTGATTGTAGGCAGTAGCAGTATGGAACCTACACGTGCTGCGCGATCACAAAAAAGTTTGAGAGACCCTGAGTTGGGGAGTCAATTATTCCTACTAGCAAACGGTCGAATTTATTAGTTTCATGTTCCAAAATCCTATTCATGCCTTAGGCATTGAAATTTTCTCGCTTCGCTAACCTAAGTATAATTTATTAGGCTTCAAATAGAAATATTCTCCTCAAATATTGTTCAGCTGATCATGCCCATCTGTCTAAAACTCTAATTCTCAGATGGCGGTAGATCTGGCGACTTGCGGAGCCCTGAATTTGACGCAAAGGCAGCCCTGCAGCAAGCCGAAGATCTCATGGCTAGAGTGCGCGAGATGAAGTTGCAGCGAGACCTTATGATTGCTTGGCCACCTCGCAGCAACACCGCCACAAGTAGTGATGAATGTACTATCGACTCGTCTGGTTCTTGGAGAACAGTTGAAGACAGCCCCAGTGAGGGAGATCCTGTGAACACTCATCCTGCGAAGAAAAGCGCATTGAAGTTTACTGATCCTCGAATTAGAGCTGCTCGACAGCAAACCATCCAAAATTTACGCGAACCATCTTTGGATGAAACGAATAACGAGAAAACAAAGAAAAGTTTGGCCGATTCGAGTAGTTTCGATGAACAGTTTCGCGTTTTATTAAAATTTAATGAAGGCTGTGGGACCGTGAGTGACCTGACAACCACGCCTACCTCTGAACACGTTGATGATAATCTCGAAAAATCCTTACACTATATCGAAGAAATGAAAAATTCACTTGGTATAGAACATAGTGTTACCTTCGAGAACAGCGAGTCGACGCACTCGTCTTCACTTATGCAGGACCAAATATCCAGAAACTTGCAATTGCTCAAACGCAATCGGGAAAATATTGACAAGAAGCTTGGGGCTACCATGCGTGCTCGAAACACTCAAGCAAGGAAATTTCAGAATATCAGAAACAGGAAAAGAGGTGATAATGCGGAGCTTCCTCATCCCACTGAACTAAAGCCCGGTAGCTCGACGTCGGATTCCAGTGCTCGTGTACCGTTACATTTACCAGGGCCTTCGTCGAGTGGTATTCTTCGAACAGAACGTCCTCATCCAAACCCTTTTTCAGGCACTGGAACTTGCGGGTCACTTGCAAGTGTCGAAGACTCGCCACCAGTTTCAGAGCCTACCAGTGTATTGTCAGGGAGCGTGTGTTCCGTTACTACTCCGGCACGCATTTACACAGAGAAGCTTAAAAATGACGGTAGTGGTGCACGACCACTCAGGAAACGTGACAAGTTTGAACTACAGAAAAAAATCCTTCTGCATAATTATGTTAAACGTCTACTGGATACGCACCAATCCGACTTCGGTGCCTTATCTTCTACTTCAGTGGAAAGTTCAGGAATAGACTTGAGTTCAGTGAGAGTGCTTGCTCGGCTTGCAGGAAGAAACGTTATCGTTGACAGTCAAAGCAGTTCAAGTGACTCGCATGCCGGTGATCGAGGTATAGGAAGAGTTCCAATAACAGATGAGGCAGGTTCTCCTGCTCTTCCTCGAGAAGAAACCCATCATCTTGGGAGTGATTTCATAGATGAACTGGATCGCGTACCCTCGAGATTGAGCGACATAGAAGAGCTTTCTCGTAGGGACATTAGTGTCCAGGTACCGAGTGCTCGTTCTTCATTCCGTGGTCACAAGAATACTCGTAGCTTGGCAGTGCAATTTCCGTCTTCTGGCAGTCCCCTTTCTAGTGTGGCTGATCAGAGAGCTCATGTTCCTGGTTCTATCTCCACGTCAGGAACTCCGTCAATCCAGTTGTCTCAGGAATTGAAGAATATTCACGAGCAAGTTAATCACGACCATGTTTCTCTCCCGTCCTCAGTGGAACACATTTCTGGATCCCAGACACATGGCAATCTATTTTCTAATTCATCTGTGACTCTCCCTATTTTTCCATCGTCGTCCACTCCCACGATGGGTGTGGGAGGTGGTAAAATAGAAGGTGCAGTGTCCTCCAACGTTTCTCCTATCGTCGCGGACGATGCTATTTCAACCGTTGATCAAGTTTCATCAGATCAGCTTCATTTCGATAATTTAACAGATCGTCCGCAGTCATCATTTGGTGATGCAGGCTTCCAGCGTCAAGAAGCAACTCGGAATTACGATGATGATATCAAGCCTAGCACGAAATCCGATAACCCAACTGGCAGGTCGATACCTCCGGGTAGTCGGGACGTGTCTGCTGCGTCTAAGGATGTCCCAAATTGGAGGACGAGTTACGATTCCAAAGAATCATTTGACACCGACATGCTAAGTTCAAGTGCAATGGGCTCTGAAGAATTCAGTGAGTATAGCAGCGAAGAACTGCAAGTTAGGAAAGAGGTCATCGAGAAGAAAAAAGCAATTTATATGCGCCTTTTAGAGATTAACGAACTTAAGCGACAATACCTCAAGTTACAGCAAGAGAACGAACCTACTCGAAATGACGTTATTTCGGAAACTATGGAACATGCCGAAATTCGTACGAGAGAATACGAAAATTCAAAGTCTGACGAACCCAGCGCACGAACGAAATCGGGAGAATTAGTACAATTAGGGAGTCAAGCATCTGATCGTGACGATATGTTAACACAAAATAACCCGGTGTCTGTTGACTTATCTTCAGGTGCACAGTCAATTCCCAATGAACCTTCGTTTTTTAATGAACTACAAAATCGTCTGGAATGCCTTAACCTTGAACAAGAGCGATTACGTCAGTGTCTCCGTGAACACTATACGCATACGCGAAAAATTCCCAGTCAGAAAGACGAGGGAACTTCTTCCCAGAGCATTAAGGCTGTAAAAAGAACAGAATCGCATAAGAGTGACAATAGAAGAAGGGAGCCATACTATGAAATGAAGTCGAGTGCGTCAAGTACTTCGAAGCGTGACCAATCCGTCCATCCAGTGTCTCGTCGTGTACCAAATGTCAGTCCCGAGGAGTCTTCGCGTGAGTGGGCCACAACTGAGGACTCGCTAGAATTAGCTACGTTGAGTAAAGAAACTTCAGCAGAAAGTCACCAGCTACAACATTCCTCGCCGGCAAGGTTTGGATCTTGTTTGAAGGAGAAAGTTGCTGGGGAGTCGGTGTCTAATTTTACGTCAACTGAGATGTCCGAAGGTCTCATCTCATCCTCGTCAGCGTTTCATCATAGTCGGCTAATACCTGAACTGACACAAGCATCGTCCATGAGTAATGCCGCTGATGCGTCTATTGAAGAAGGTCTTTTATCAAACTCAAAACTATCGGCTTCTTGCGACTTCGATGATTCAAAGCTTGCTGTAAACAAATCGGCTCCTATTAATGAAAGTTCTAGGTCAGTTAATAACGAGTCTTTCAGAAAACTTATGGAAATTGTCGATCTTAGGAAATTGACTGGCTTAAGTAAGCATCCGCTGATTTCTAGAAACGAGTCTCCCGTTGCAGAAATTTCATCAAACATTACACCAGACCACACTGATGGGAGCGTCCCCTTGCTCGACCATGTCACCGAGAGCGCGTCGTCCGTGAATGAAACATCAGACATCGAGTGCTACGATGCGGACCAGTCGAGCCGAGCAACGAGCAGCGTTCACTCTGAGAATGACGCTGTGCCCGTTAGGTTACTGCTGCAGCAGAAGAGATTGGAGGAGTCGCTACGTTCCGCCAGTGCCTCTGCCGCCACCAGCGGTGCGGGTACAACACACTCGTCCAGTAGTGACGCTCTCGGGGCAGAGCTTACTTCGAGGTCAGCATTGCAGGCTCTTGTGGAAGGCGGCTCATCATCGTCGTCTGATTTAGAGGAACTTCTGAAGAAGTTTGGCTGGGCAAGAGGAATGCTAAACAAAATGAATAGGATTGATCTGGGATATTCTTCCTCTACTTCTGCTGATTCCTGACGAACTGTGTGGACTTTTTAATTTAGTAGAAAGTTCTGAAGTTAAAAGAATCGCCTGATAAGCATCACCACCGAAGTGTTTCTTAGAGGACAGTGTTCACAATTGTGCCTTAAAGAACTCAATGCAAAATCTCGTAAGTACTATTGAGTTATAAGATTGTAATCTGTGTTGACTCAGTCTGAGTGCAATTGTAAAATATCGTGGCTTTTGAGCAGAGCATAGTAATAATAATCGTTGATCATTAAGCTTGTGCATTCATTCTTCAAGTTAATAATTGTTTTCCTATAAAGTGCAGTCCATTTGCACGATGAACTTAGCTTTGCTATTAAAGTTAGGAATTGAAAATCTGCGAAGAAGTGGAGTCGCAGTGTTTGAAATATTTTGGAATCACCATAAATTCAGTTTTTAGCTCTTATTTTTTACTTCCTTCCAATTATTAGATTTATTAAATTTTTAGTTCTAAACCTCTGGAAATCTGCACAAAATTCTGACGACAAGCTGTACTTCAGTTCACTTCACTTTAGCCGTTCTTTAAACTTTTGGCGATCTCTATAGAATGTGTTCATCTCTGATAGAAATGTGTTCATCTCTGCAGTTGAGTGTAAGCTATCAACGCTGAACACATTTCAACCCTTCTCTTGAAACGCTTACCTTCACGTGCACTGGTCCTTGTTGCGATGAATCCGAGCGAATAATTTTTAAATACATAACATTCCTTCTCCTAACAGCAATCGAATGTTCAGAATTTTTTTTTAATTGAACCACATTGCTTGGTAACATTAGAATTGAGGCTAATGCCTCAAAACATTGCCCTCCATTGAGACTTTCTTATTACGGCGAGCACCCGAATGTTTGAGGTTCAGCTAGAGTCGAAGTGACGTATTTAAAATAGAAAGAATGGCGACCACATTGTAAACTTCCTCTTCTGCCTTCATCTTGTGGGTCTAGATCGACAATCTAATTTTCCATGCCTTTTTATTTGTAATTTTATGCCTGCAGCTGTTTTGAAGTCTATAATTCGCCATACAATGAGCTCATGGCTTCGCAACACGAAGTTGGATATTGGAGTAAATAAAATATTTGATTAAAAACAAATTTATTAAACAAAGATAATGCTCGTAATGCCTAATAAGAATACAGCTAAACTGAGAACGCAGCAGAGTTTTACAACCACGCTCAGGGGGACGCAACTGTGGTCATAAAGACCTACGCTTAACCGAAGCATAATGGCTAATTGGCGACGAAAAACGAACTGCAGAGCTACAAATAATACCTCATCACTAACAAAGGTTTATTCTTATCCTACATCATTATCGGCATCTGCAAGAAAAAATGGATCGGCGTTCATCTGATTAGATTTAATGCCACGCTCTAATAACAGTAATTTCAACGATTATCGTGCTAAATTAAAAACCCAATAATGATAACGCAGAATCGGAGCAATCTACATCGGCATCCAGAAAATGACCAGTCAGGAAGAAGCAGCCAATGCTCATCCTGGATATGAAAGAAATGAATATCAGTCTGAATGGACATATTTGGTAAAGGCGCTCGAGATCACTCAATGCACACCAGCCCAGTATAGTGCAATGACGTTGTCTGATAAAATGTCGTGCAATAACAGGATAAATATTCGTTGACCCTAAGAACTTAATTGCAAAACAGCAAGAGACGACGCTGCTACATAAGGAAGGGAATCTTATAAAATTATTTTGAGCCATAATGAACAAAAAGATCGTGTAGATAGATTTAAAAATGATTCGATAAATTTAAATGTCATCTCCAAAATTTGTAACGACGAAGAATAGTTTGATGGCGATTCGACGCTACTGCAAACGCGACTCTTGAGAGTAACAAAAATCGCGGAGCGAATCTTGATGCATAAAAGACCACGTATCACAAGGAGAACATCAAGTTAGCACAAATAATTTCCATCTTAAAATGGCCACATGCATTAAGAATCTTGGCTAAGAAACATATCACATAAACTCTTATTCGACCAAAATGAGACCGTCTAAAAATTTTACAAATCAATATCTCAGTTTGATCTACGGCTCCCCCAATGAAAATAGTGGTCGGTGAAGGTAGGTCTCGCCTGAATAAAGTACGTAAGCGGTGAAGTTCGCAAGAGGGAAGATGGTTGCCCACACTCTGCCCCTGAGCACATATAATTAAGAGCAAACATTTCTGGCAGAGACTATAAGGGCGGAGAATTAACACCAACTGATGTCGACGGAAAGTCAAGTTATGAGCTCGAGTATACAAAGAATTTAACTAAAATGCAATAGCGGCTGCAATGCTTCTACATGGACATGAAGCAAATGTAAGAATGTTCTTAAGAAGGCGGCCAACTGGGCGAGGGGAGAATCGCAACGCAAAGAAAAGGAAGCAAAATAGTTTGTATGAAAGCAAGTAAAAAGCGAACGAAATTGAATGAAATATAACGAAGACACGGAACAACTTGTCACAATTAGCCAAAGCTAATCGAACGGGGGAAAGAACACCACAATATGGACATAGATATCCTAATCCACCATAGAGATTTAGACATATTAATACATCTTATGGATATAGGTATCTTAAACCAACTTATGGACAAGATATCTTCGTCCACCACAATTACATAGATATCTTAATCCACTTAATCGCAGTCATCTTAATCAGTTGAGATGAATGAGCGTCAACGTGACGCTTCTGGAAGTCATCAATGGATGGCTGCAACACTTCTCTTCGCATACAAAAACTAAATAAATGTGGCTAATATGGCTCGTCAAAGCAGAACAACCTGCGAGTGCAGGTCATTTGACTAACTAAACATAGCCGGAATGTCTTTCAAGTTGATGGGAATGGTCGACATCATTGATTCGCAAGCACTCCTCGGTCTATTGACGATGCAAGATAAATGGCAAGTTCGCTCTTACTTCATCAAATTTGATCTTCAAAGCACGCAGCAAAATTAAGTAGGATACGCTAAATCATTCTTTAGAATTTAAGGTTCGAGGTTATTACTAGATTTACAATACGTACTTTTTCCTCAGAAATCTAAGTGAATTCAGCCCAACTTTCTATTGAAATAAATGACATCATCAAACATGCGTCATAAGTAATCATGAAAAATCGATTGCAGCTCCGAACATATGCATGTACATGTTGTAAGGCTATAGCACTAACGAATTTAATCATGAAAGTAAAACAATATCGTAAATTAATAACTCCCCAGTGAGTGACCGCATTGGCGCATTGGAAATCCTGAAGCAGAAAAATATAATCCAAATGATCACAGCTTTAAACAGTAGTTCTCAAGATTACATTTCTACGCTGAGCAAACTCGTCATATGATTACGATTAATTGCAACATTGGCAACGAGAAAAGCAGGAGGCAAAATATCCGAATTTCGATGTACTGCATATATTGCTACCTGATTTTAAATATCGAGGACCACAAATTTTTATACCGACGAAATAATTGAGTATTACGCAGCCACTCCAAGGAGTCACTATATAATCTGAAATCGGTAAGAAACTTATCTTCTCATAATATAATGAATAAAGCAAGTATGAGAATGACGCGCTTGGCATTAAAAACCAGATTCGTTTATATCGATTGGATATAGATAGTATACGGGAATCTAAATATAGTAAACACTTGAGACACCCTGTTTTATAACCACCACTCACGCTCCTCTTACCTATGAATATTTTATCTTCTAGGCTAAACTAGAGTAGTATTTATGTACAAGATACTATCGTAGGTCCACTATATCTCGGTCACAGTATTGAAGTTAATCCTAAGACAGCCAAGTACATAGAACTCTCCGCTCTACCGACATCGCCCATAGCATTATTACCTTCAGCTAGCGACAGCATTCATGAGTCGCATCAAACATATTATTGAGACACAATTATGATCGCGACCAAGAGGACTGACTTGAGTCTTAGGCATGCACGAGAGTAACCGATCGACTCGTTACGAGCTAACAACGGTTGCAGTAAATACGACAGTCAAGAAGTTTAATCTTCGTGGAAGGTAGCACTCCAATTTAGCTGGTGCATTTTTAACACAAGCAACTAGAGCACAAGAGATTCAATATGAATCAATTTAGATTAAATACTAAGCACAATGATTAGGTAATTCTCTGACAGCAATGACAAGTTTGATATAAATCAAAGCTATTAGGCAAGCATGAAATATGACCTGCAAGAAAAGATACTGACAATTACATTTCTCCAACTTTCAACAAATCACGTTACTTCTAAAGCTAAATTTGCATAAACAGAAGACTTGGACATAAATTCGAGAAAGGGTTGTCAAATAATTTTGACGCTGGCAAACGATTAGAGCACAGCCAGTCCCACGGACACATATTCACTCCCACAGCTAGAGCACATGAAACATTACATCGAGCTCCACAAACCTCCCAGTACGAACCATGAAGCAGGCACAATAGTTAATGCTTTTCAACATTCTAGAACACTAATAAGTAACCTACTGACGACAGGCATCGCGCCAGCTCGGTAAATCTACTCTACTCTACAGGATTGAGAAGCTCTAAGGTATACAGTAATGTTAACATAGTGACGGTAAGGGGAAGAAGTTCGCTTAGAATAGAAACACCGCCTTAGGTGATGCCATCCTGAGTGTTATCTTGGCACCGAAGAATTGTGTTGCTGGTGCGGTAACTGGCCATGCTGAGGGTTGCCGTGGACTCTACCGTTCACAAGGGCTGTGTTTGAATTATTGTTTGTGGTATGAACAGCAGTAGTGGAAGTCGTACCTGTGGCTGAGCTACGGTGTGGTGACGACCCATTCATGACATTGTGGTGCTGCTGCTGATTACTATTGATGTTAATGCTGCTGTCATCAGCAGGAGTATTCAACTTACTAGTAGTACCATTAATAGTAGCAGCAGCAGAATTTTGATTATTATGCCGGTTATTCAGGTTTAGATTATTAGGGGCATTCTCCACGCCATGGGATTCGGTAAGCCCATTACTCGTAACGGGCGGGTTAATGTTATTGTCGTTGTTGTTGTTAGCGTTGCTGAGGTCGGGGTGGTGAGGCTTCTTGCGGGCGAGGGCAAGCTGCTCCTCAATGAGGCTGCACACGTTCGCGTGGTCGAGCGCAGCGATGAACTCGTGCTGTACGAGCTCGTCTGTCAACACAACGGCGTCGTCCTCTGGCGTCACCAGGCACACCAACTGACGGTTCATCTTCGTGTCCAGCCGCAGCGAGATCGTCAGCTGTCACAAAATACCCAAGAATATAAGTGGTAGCAAAACTGAGCAGGAGAGATAATACCTGAATTAAAATATCACAATGAAGCCAACATATGATACCGTGTACTATTATATATACATCCAAGCGGTGTGCAAATACTTTTTTAATTATGAACGATTTTGATCTAGTAATCTTTAACTTCATATAAAATTCCTAGATGTAATTCAAGACTTTGGATACGTTCTCGATCACGAAAGGTTTGGGTAGCACTGGAATGGTGCAACAAAATAATCGGAAATACAAAATTTTGAATGAATATTGAATAATTAAAAAAGAAATTGAAAGTTAACAAATTGGAAATAAGAAAAAGCATTGCTGTGAAAGGTTCAAGTAACCTTGAAAAAACGGTTTCTTTCTGCCCACTTGAGGTTATCGGCCGGGATATCACGGCCGGGATAACTAAAAATTAAAGTTCAGATACGAATAGTATTACCTGATAAAATTATACAGCTACATCATATAAGTCCTTGAGTTATAAACAAAATCAAAACCTAACGAAATAAACTAGATAAAAATACACGAGCTTGCACAGGCTGACGAGCTAAAAATAACTGGTGATTGATGTTACTAGCATGGATGACGAGCTAAAAATAAATGGTGATTGATGTTACTAACATGGGTAACGAGCTAAAAATAACTGGTGCTTGATGTTACTAACATGGATGACGAGCTAAAAATAACTGGTGCTTGATGTTACTAACATGGATGACGAGCTAAAAATAAATGGTGATTGATGTTACTAACATGGGTAACGAGCTAAAAATAAATGGTGATTGATGTTACTAACATGGGTGACGAGCTAAAAATAACTGTTGGTTGATGTTACTAACATGGGTGACGAGCTAAAAATAACTGTTGATTAATGTTACTAACATGGACGACGAGCTAAAAATAACTGGTGATTGATGTTACTAACATGGGTGACGAGCTAAAAATAACTGGTGATAGACGTTACTAACATGAGTGACAAGCTATAAATAACTGTTGATAGATGTTACTAACATGGAGCTGCTCTCCATCCTCGTGTGGCTTGATATTACACATCATATTCAGGACCCTGGGATCGACATGACCGCTGCCGCTGCCAGGCGCGCCTCCTTCACTGCGCTGTACAGACTCGCACTCGTCGGGTGACGACCCGCGGTCTTCACTTGACCGGCCACAGTCGATGCCAAACGCAGTCAGCGGGTACACGCCGTATCTGAACCGTGGAGATGCATTAATGCTTTTGTCCAATGGTAAAAATTCTAGCAACAGGCGGAAATAAATCTGGCAACAGGCGAAAATAATTTTAGCAACAGGCGAAAATAATTCTGGCAACAGGCGGGAATAATTCTAGCAACAGGCGGAAATAGTTCTAGCAACAGGCGGAAATAGTTCTAGCAACAGGCGGAAATAAATCTGGCAACAGGCGGAAATAAATCTGGCAACAGGCGAAAATAATTTTAGCAACAGGCGAAAATAAATCTGGCAACAGGCGAAAATAATTTTAGCAACAGGCGGAAATAAATCTGGCAACTGGCGGAAATAGTTCTAGCAACAGGCGGAAATAGTTCTAGCAACAGGCGGAAATAGTTCTAGCAACAGGCGGAAATAATTCCAGCAACAGGCGGAAATAAAGTTACACATCTTTAACACAGTTAATCTCTCCTTGGGAAAATGGTTTAGAACACACTCCTCGCTCGGGGTAAACTCAAACAGAATCACGTGTTCTTTGTCATTATCTTAGCTTGTAGAAATCAAATAGATCTTGGATATAATCTTCTTGCAATTTCGAGGAACCTTTCAGTCATCTAAGCCTTTCCAATCAATAAGATAAACAAATGGTTTATAACGAGGAAAAGAACTTTCGACAACCAGCGGTTTTTTTACTTATCCTATGATATGTAAAAAAAAGATGCGTCATTTGAGAGTACTTATAGAGCATGGAGGTTCTCACTGGTGCATCAGCCAAAAAATCAATTTTGCAGTAGAAGTAACAAAATAAAAAAAACTCGGAATCTTTCGACCATTATACATTTCTTAGGTGGAAAATCCAGTCATCACCACAAAGTTTGGAAGGTCTGGAATGATAAACACGTCAACGACCGCAACAAAAGAGTACCGTGAGAATCTCAGAGGCGAACAAATCAACAGAAAAAAAAGAAAATCTAAATCGGACGAGCGACCGCTCGCACAGAAAGTCCTCCATCACAGAGAGGCGAAATATCATAGCTCATCTCACGAGCAGATGCCTGAGCCTGAAGACCTCTCTAGTCATTCAATTTAAACATAAATTAGAATGTATACTGAAATTAAAATATTAAAATTAAAACATAAATTAGGATGTACGGTATTCTTCGTTGTACGGCTACCTATTGAGTTACGGGCATTGGCTTGTTGGTTGGTTTAGATTTAAAACATTACAATTTTGCAAGAGTAAATACATTTTTACAAAAATTCAGACCTAAAAGTAACAGCAGCAACAAAGCCGTTAACCAAAATTCGCCTTATTTCCAATGGCAAAAATGTTTAATTTCGATGCACCCTCCAAAGAGTACATCCATGCCGAGAGCAACGTTTTCCAACATGTATAAAAATATGTATAACTATGATTTAACCTTGAAAACGAATAGATTTAAAATAAACCTACGAGTTCTCTTACCGGACATCTTCCACAAATTTCTCTAGTTGATCCTTGTCGTTTTTAGTGACGCAAGCGATGGTGTACTGCAGGGGAGCCTCTGCATTTCGCTGCCTGACTTCTGCCACCACCTTCTCAGGGCTGTACTGGTGCTGTAGGATCTCTTCTATGCTGTACTCTGCACGAACACCAACACGTCTTAAAATATTGCACGAATATTCACAATCTTAGGGAAACATTCACTGTCACCTCAGGCAAAACGCACCGCTGTTAACGGTAAATAGAGATACAGTGCCCGACACTGAGGGTGACTAGAGGCAAAATGCACGACATAAACGGTAACTAGAGGAACAAAATTGACTCAGGGATACAAGAGGAACAAAATTGACTCAGGGTTAGAAGAAGAATAAAATTGACTCAGGGTTACAAGAATAATGAAATTGACTCAGGGTCACGAGAAGAATAAAATTGGCTCGCACCTACAAAAGAAAAAAAAATTGATTCGCGGTTACAAGATAAACAAAATTGACTAACTGTTACAAGAGGAACAAAATGGACTTACGGTTACAAGAGGAACCAAAATTGTCTTACGATTAAGAAAGGAAGAAATTGACTCACGGTCATTGGTGCCGTTGAGCAGAGAGTGACACGACAGGAGCTTGAGTGAAGGCACCTCGAAGAGTATGGGATGCAGGAGCAGTTGCCGCACGCCGGGACGCTGGTCGGGATCACTGGCCAGACATTGACGTATGAAGTCCTGTTGGTCTTTGTCTTCCAGGCTATCAATGGTGCGCTTGATGAGCTCTTTGCTGATGTTGTGGCCTGAGTCTCCGTTACCTGAGATCTCGAGTGCAGCCATCTCCAGAGCACACATCCCCAGCGCGTACACGTCCACTGATGAGCTCAATGCTCCTCCATCTGCAGTCACACGGCGGGTTGAACACAAGAACGTGAGAATATTTATTGTGCAACAAGAAGACAATATACAAGCTGAATAAAGACTTTTGATTCCTTGTAGTTAATGAGACTGGACAACAACAACAAAAACAACTGCACACATGGAAATTCAATTAATTCGTCGAATCAAGCAGCATATTATTTATCAGAAGGAGTTCGGGTTTATTGGCCTTGGCTTCTACTCGGTATCTAAGCACAACACCGGTCCAATTCAGTCCAACAAAACCCAATGCGTCTCTCGATATAATATCTTAAGTTGTACAAAATTATCTCAGACTTTATCAGATGCAAGTTTATTACGTTGGTTAAATGTTTCTTCTAACATCGAACTTTTAGATTTGCCATAATCACGTAAAAATTCTTCACCACGTGCGCCTTCATATGTGTGCGAATGGCTTCACGTCGTGTGCCCAACATACTTCAAGAAATATAGCCATTCTACCTACAAAATTAAACAAAATAGAGTCAAATTTGTAAAATTGTGGTAAGTTTTCCAGCGCTTCAGGAAAGAGGTCAAATATGAATACTTGACCAATTTTTGGAAATGCTCAGGTGTGTTTGTCGTGAGAAATTCATTGGAATTCACAAAAACCACGCGCATTTTGAAATATATTAGACAACATAACCATTCCAGGGGCTCTACTATCAAAAAGTTTCGAGTTCGTAACTCTAATTTTATGCTAAGATACTTTTGAAAAATATATAAATTCCAGCCGACTAATATTTAAGAGTAGAAGTATTTAACTAAGCTCATTCGAAAATATTATAAGAAGCATAATACAAGAAATGAACTCACTAACCGGCATACTCTGGAGCGATGTAGTGCATGTTCTTCAAGTCGGTCTTGTAAGTCTTGACATGTTTCTGGATGGCGTCGGGGGCAACTGAGGAGATGTGAAAACGTTACAAGAAATCTCAGCAATACGACCAAGGTAACCGTGAGAAATATTAATAGAGGGATTAGCAAAATATCAATATAGCAAAAAAAATCAAATTAGCAAAATATCAATATAGGCATGTTATGTTTCTCAAATGTCTACCTATATGAATATGCTCCTATTTCAACGCGTCTACTTTGTTCGGCGTCAAATAAAGCCTTATTATTAAATAAATTAAATTAAATCATTATTATTAAATAAATACGGCAGGATTGATAACCGAGTTTGAACTAATGGTATAAAATTATTACATCGTAATAGTAAATCTAATTTGTGGCATAAATGATAATTATTATCAAATACATATGCCTATTATGAATGCAGTATTGAGGCGATGTGATCTATTTTACAACAGATAAATCTTGCAAAATCACCAAGTGTACATATTTATATGGTAATTTGAACAATGAAATACGATTTGGTCATGCATTGAGAACTGGTCATGTCCCGTGACGAGAGCCGACGCATGGAGTAGCGGAGAAACCTACAGGGGCTCGACGAGGTGTTAAGTTTGATACTTTGCATGTACAGTGGGGGGAANAGTCAAGAATCAGCTTGATTTAATGACGAGGCCATTTGTATCAAGGATTGGTCAAGCATTTGTGTCAAGGATTGTTTAAGCATTTTTGTCAAAAATTGTTTAAGAATTTGTGTTGACGATTGTTTAAGCATCTTTCCTGGCCAGATCGCTTCACGATCAGCGTCAGAGAGCTGTAGGATTTGTATAAGAGAGAGCTTTAATGATTTGTGAGTTTTCAACAAACAAATATAACATGGGCGGTGACTAGCAGCACGTGTCACCTGATCCTATCTTGATGAGGCCGTTGGACTGGATGAAGATGGTATCTGCAGTCAGGTTACCGTGCACGATGGCGGGAGTGCACGAGTGCAAGTATCTGCCATACCAAAATATAATGGATACTCTGGTGACCATATTTTCTCGTAATAATGTACCAACTATCAATGACTACAAGCATCAGTCGAGTTTAGTTTCAATATATTTAAATATATATAGGTATATACTTAAGCATTAGCAAACAAATTCTACATACAGGACCTTTGATATCGGAATCTAAAATCGATAAAAAAATCTCACAAAGAATTCACACCGCAGTGGATGAAAGCGACTTATGTGTTGCATGGTATGCCCATGCGGGCCTGCGTGCTGCACCGTATGATCAGTTCGTAAGTTACTATTAATAATAATCTGATAAAATGATCGCACGCTAGCTTTCAATTCAATCGTACAAGCTTGTTTCACAAAGGCAAAAATTAAATAACCGTACGAACTTATAAAAGAACTATTCAGGTAGCGAATCCCAAATTCGAAACCAAAGTTCAAAGAAAATGGAGTTAAAAGACGGACAAACCATTTAAAAAGTAACTCAAAGAATTTCATTCATATCTTAATTACTAAATACTAACGGGTGATAAATTTCTGCAAAGTTAGTGTAGGTAGAGCGGAGCACTCACCCCAGCGCGGACAAGATCTGTATACACCACTTCTTCCAAGACGACACGTTCACCTTCTTATCGTTGCGCTTGGTTAACTTCAAGAACTTTCTTAGCGACCCCGACGACATATACTCTGTGATGAACACGATCTGTACGAGACACAACGAGCAGTTATTTTCAAGTGTGCATTATAACCGAGGGTCGTTAGTTACCCTCAGAAGAAAACCCACGGAAGCCCTCAACTGGCATCCGAGAGTACGTTGGTTGCCCTCAGAAAACAACCCATGTAAGCCCTTGACCGGCATCATAACCGAGGCATCATAACTTGTCAGACAACTATAGTACTCCTCAGAAGTCATACCGGAAAAGCCCTTGACTGGTAGTCGAGCCATGTATATACTGCTAACGAATGCAAATGTGCACAATATTTCACAACAAATTTATAAGCAAACAAACTTATTCAGTGAGGAATCATTCCGTTACTTTATCATGCTTGCAGGACACGTTAATGGCAATAAGGAAAGGATTAGAGACTAACCCTGCGTTTATCAGGGTCTGCATCGACCCAATAGCTGTGGAGTTTGACGATGTTAGGATGGTCGAGTTCAGTGAGGTTGTTGAAGGCAGCCTTGATGAGCTCTTCTCTCTCACGCAGAGTGCGGCGCTCGCTGAACCGCACCTTAGTAACAGGAAACACTTGGTCGCGTTTAGCCTGCTTATATCTTATGAGATAATTCTCCACAAATAAATACACGACTTCGATCGATTATTTTTATTAATTTTGACTCATTTCCTAAGAATTTCTTAAATTCAATGATTAAATTTAAACTTAACCAGTTTGAATGTTCTACGAGGAGTAATTAGATCAAACATGCTCGAGGTTCATTCAAAAATTGAAGTTAATCATACAGCTCAACGAGCAAAAATGGTGTTCAATGTACATCTAATTGAAAATAAAATATGATATGGCGGACTTGTGTCTCGCGCACATGAAGCTTCCTACAGTCAACACTGAAGAATTAGAAATGGGACTGAAGAGAACTGCGGTCATGCACGTCTGATCACGTCAACTTGGTTGGCTGATGAATAAAAAATATAACTCAGTACTCACTGCAGTGAGTGACAGAGAGCGCGTTTTCTCGTCGACAAAGACGTGAAGTCACGGACGAGCAGACGGACATGGCGAGCACAATAGTGTATTTTTTTCGTAAATGAGAAAATGCGCTAAGAAGTGAACGCCAAAATTCTCTTTGAGTCTATTTCCTCTTTCGCCGTGCGGGCTAATTACACTGAACACAAAAAGAGGAATTTCGACACGTCAACGTTGCCCTGCAGTCATCGATGAAGCAGCGCGCTTCACACGCCGCTGGAGCTTACCTCGTTCCAGACAACTTCCATGCCCTCCTCGGTGTCCATGGCGAGGTACGCAGCGTCGATACCTGGCACATCTCGCTGCTGCACCTGCAACAACGATGTGTGGTCAGGCGATGTGTGGTCAGGCGATGTGTGGTCAGGTGATGTGTGGTCACTGGTTAGGTAAGAACAACCTGCAGTCAGGCGATGTGTGGTTACTGGTTAGGTAACAACAACCTGCAGTCAGGCGATGTGTGGTTACTGGTTAGGTAAGAACAACCTGCAGTCAGGCGATGTGTGGTCAGGCAACAACAACCTGCAGTCAGGCAACAACCTGTAGTCAGGCGATGTGTGGTCAGGCAGGCAAGTCATGTGACGTAGCTAGGCAAGTCAGACGATAGACACTCAGGCAATGTACAATCAGGCAACAGCAAGGCAGAGCCAACGCCAAGCCCGCAAACTAGCGCGCATAGACAGGACTGGCTAGTATAAGAAGATCAAAATTGTGCGCATCAACAATTGCATAAAAATTTAATAGCATCACTGCACTGCAGCTTAGCGATGATGCCTCGCACCATTCAAGCACCTTGGGTTTAACATTCAAGTTTGACGCACTCATATGAGCAATTGAATTTTTTGTTTTAGAACGCAATTGAGGCACAGATATTTAAACAAAACCTGACTTCGAGTCTGTAACGAAGCTTTAGTTCGGGAAATAATCATATCGGCTCACGTAGAAGACGTAATATATTCCAAGAAAACGCATGATCAAATACTGCAAAATACTATAAATATGCCTGGCAATACGTACACGTCCCTAATTTATTTGGCTATAAAACTACTCGCAGCAGAAGAAAGCATTCAGGAGACAGAGTCATAGTATCGTCAGACATAATCAGGCTTTTCTATATCTTCATTCCGACCCAGAGGTAAGAACTCGTAATCTAATTTGTGGTACGTATAAATGATAATTATTATCAAATACGTCTGCCTATTCTGAATGAAGCATTGAGGAAATTTCAACAGTGAATTGATTGAGTGAAGAAAACACCACATAGGCAATCATTATTATTATTATTATTATTATTATTCTCCGAAGCATTTATCGCGACGTCTGGTTCAAACGAACTTCGAAGGCACGTCATACAAAAGACTAATAGAAAACGAAAAATAAATAGACGCAATAAATGATGGAAATGGATAAAATGACTAAGCACTAGATTCATGGGCTCTACGAAAAAGTTCCCGTCTTTAGGCGTCGACGAAACACCGGCAACAAAGGAACCGAAGTTACGGAAGCCGGCAGACTGTTGATGCGATTAACCAATTAGGCAATCATTTTTAAGTAGAGTACGTGCAATAGTCCCTCCCAAATTCGACAGCACCTTTATTCAGCATTCCTAATAGAATTATTACACCTAATAATAGAATTATTACACCTAATAATAGCATTATTACACCTAATAATAGCATTATTACAGCTAATAAAAGCATTATTACAGCATCGAAGTAAGGCGAAACAGTAGCCACTGCACAGCGCAAGTGAGAATTTGATGTTTTAAGAGAAATTCTTGAGTGTTGCAAGCACACAATCCGACAACACGATTGTGCATGCAGGCTTCAAGGCTGTAAGGAGCAAGAGCTTTGGCGAAAACAAACCAAAGCATTGCGAAAATAAAACATTTTAGTGCGATCCGTAAGTTTAAAATAAAAGGTAAAATAAATACGGTAGTATTGATAACCGAGTTTCAACTGCTGGTATAAACTTATTACATCGTAATATTAACTGAAATAAACAACATGTATAATCGACTGATAATTAGTAAACTATTATTATGAATGCAACGAATATTCTTGGCACTAACATTTGGAGACATGAAATAACGAGAGATCAGATGAGGGGGTAATATACAGGGTGAACCAAAAAAAGTTGCTAAAAGTAAAGGCTTATAACTCGAAAAGTATTAAACGTAGAAAGATGAAATAAAAAATACATGAAAGAGTATAACTTCAAGTTTTATTTGATATCCATGTTACCAAAGTTCTCTATATATTTCATATTTAAAACTCGTTTTTTTTTAAGATCAAGATTCCCCTACAATGCAGCTAAATTCTGGGCAACGAGTTTTCATTGTCGAACAATTTTACCTGAAAACTTCACCAACCAAAATAAAGAGAGGTTTTTCCACCAAATACAGACAAGAAGCTAGTCTCGACACAATCAAGAAGTGGATACGTCAGTGGAAAGATAAAGGTACGATCCTGAATCAAAACAAAGGTCATGCTGGACGGCGAAGAACTAGAAGATCAGAAAAAACATTGCCATGATTGAAGAAAGAATTAATGAATCGCCTTTGGATTTATTCCTATGAAGTTACGTGAAAGAAAAAGTATTCAGTACAAGACCAAGCAGCATTGACAATCTGAAGATAGCAATTCATGAAGCTCTCGCACTTATTGACCAGGATACCTTGTCTGCAGTAACCGCAAATTTTGAAAAACGTATTGAGCTGGTAGTATTCAACATCAAGGTCATTTTGAACATTTATTATAATCTGAATAAAACTTGAAGTTATACTCTTTAGTGTGTTTTTTTATTCAATCTTTCTACGTTTAATACTTTTCGAGTTACAAGCCTTTACTTTCAGCAACATTTTTTGGGGTCACCCTGTATATGTAGCTGCTGGCGCTCAATCGGCTCATATGACTCTGGCCAGCCTACGCATTGCCAATAACTAACAAAACCGAGACTAGGAAAACTATCAGTTTAATGAATTCAAAGGTAGCCGCGGTTGTGTCGTTACGGACGGATAATGTCGCAACTTGCAGTTGGCAACTTCTCGGCAGCGGCGACGCGACATCGACACGCGGCAGCGGCGCTAACACTGCAAAAAATAGCTTGATTTCTTGCAGAACAACGGCGTAGTTCAGGTACACTTACATTCCCTGTTTCTAGTACTAATTCTGTTAATTTACTTTGAAGCAGATGAGCTTGTGACAAGATGAACTTTGCTCTGAACGTAATTCATGCTTAAGAACTAAAAAAATGTAATCAGAGGATTCTAAAAAACCGACTATTCAGTAGCAGCCGTTTACGAAAACGCAAAACCGTTGCGAGAATAGCAATGGCACAATACTATTAATACGCTCTGCCTTGGATGCTACCTTTGATCATATAATATAATCGTTTATATGCAACCGTACAAAGCGTGTGTGTGGACTACATCAAAATTTACGAGCAATTGAAATTCATTTGATAGGTCGACATCATTAATAAGATACCCAGAAACAACTCAACCGGGTGAATAATATTATAAAAATAAAACATTAAAAACGAGAAAATGGCGCTTGAGCAAAATGTCCTAAAATCAATTGGCTTCCACGCATGACATCGCGGGTTTTAAATTAACATCGTCATTACTTTTTGCGCACAGGTTCGGAAACAACTCAACCGGGTGAATAATATTATAAAAATAAAACATTAAAAACGAGAAAATGGCGTTTGAGCAAAATGCCCTAAAATCAATTGGCTTCCACGCATGACATCGCGGGTTTTAAATTAACATCGTCATTACTTTTGCGCACAGGTTCGGTGAAAAACAACCGTCACACATGAGGCAATCGGAGGCAATGGTCGAGGTAAAGCAGAATATTTTGCTGCGCCACAGCTTGAGGAGCGAATCTTCTCATCTGCCACCACACAATGGCGCCTAAAGAAAAGCCCGGCGCGGTCAGCTACTTGCCAAAACAAAAACTCGCGCACTTCTGTTAAAACATGCAATACAATAACACACGCAAGAGCTACAGAAATCGGCGCACGCTTTTTGCGTGAGAGCAGTGCGCCAAAATGACGCCTTACTTAATTAACGAGCAGATAAAAATTACACATACCATACGCAAACCTTTTTTTCCTTCCTTATCACGGATAAAAAAGCTGAAGGAAAATTCAACCAAATTTTTACGTTTTACATGAATAAGCCTTTTCAAGAAAATATGAGATCAGCACAATGAATTATTCAATGGGACTATACAGGATCCCGCCTCAACTGCCATCACAATTTCTATTATTCGGTTTCCAAAGAAGTTACGCGAAATATTCCGTTAAAATAGTAGGAAAGTACTAAGATCCACAAAAAAAATCATCAGTCGCCAGTCTCAGAGCGGGTAAACTGAGCGAGCGCTGCAGGATCACTCATCAGTCGCCAGTCTCAGAGCGGGTAAACTGAGCGAGCGCAGCAGGCGGTTAGTCTAGGATCGAAGCAAAAACGAATCAATGCGTCATGCAAACTTTAAACAGCCGCTTTGAACGAGAAAAATTCATAACAAAATGGTATTTGTATTGTAATTACGAACTAACTATTTGATGAACACTGGAACTAATTGGAGTCAGGAGTAAACAAAAAGCTCGAGGTTTAACAGAGAATCAGTTCACACTATATAGACTAAGATTATGAAAAGTGAAACATTCGTTATGACATTTTTACAATGGAATAATATTTACCATGGATAAAATCCGTTGTACAATATACAATCACTTAGATTCAAAACCTACACAGGCACACACGTCTTAATACATACATATTATGAGAAAATACATCGAAACAAGGCTCTTCATAAACATGGCTCTGCACTACAACCACACAAACGGAGAACGAGCTGCACAGTCGCAACACACAGGCCTGAGGTGAAGCTTGCTCTCTGAAGTGAGCAAAAAATATATGAGAATATGTTGCAGGTTTTTACTTCGAGACAATGTAACTCGGGCTCCGTCTATTATTTTTCCACGATGTGGCAAAACTCTTCAGTGTTTCTAAGCTGAAATATTTGTGTCGCCATGCCTTTCAAGTTACGCGTAGGCTGTAGGGAAGTAAGAGGAAGTTTTTAGTTTTACCGAGAGGAACATGCACTATTGCCTTTAAATAGGAAACCACATAAAACAAACGAAAAAAGTTAGAAGAGATAATGTTAAGTTAATATAATGTTACGTTAACTTAGTTAAGTTAATGTTAAGTACATACTCGAATAGTGCTGGACATATGCTCGTACAGTAAAGGTTCCAGCAAATACCGAGGCTGCTAGTCTCCTCCAGCAAAACATACCAACGGTGTTCCAAGGACATATATATATGATCCAGATCAAAGACAAATACACCGATGTAATTTTTGTACTTTGAACTTGCAGCTGTGCAACATTG